AAGAAAGTGGAGCTGCGTTAACAAATTGTATTTTTACTTCTTAGACAACATTTTGCCGATTGTAAACAAATTTAACTTAATTTTTCAAGGTGACTATCCGTGCATTGAAATATTATATGATGATGCATCCAGTATATACTTGTCGATTTTGGGTTGCTTTATGAAAACAAATTATATAAAAAGCACGGACAATGTATTTACATTAGACCCAAAGTCTAGTGTGAATTATTTGCCATTAAATGGTATGTACTTAGGGATCCAAATGGGTCAAGAATTAATTAAACACGGAGGAAACATAAACATGAAAGTACAAATTGCTGATTTTTTTCAAAAAGTGCCAATCTTTTTTGAGTCTAGCTCTCAATTGAAATCATTTTTGCCTTTTGAAAATCAAATTTTCCGAGAACTAAAATTTCTTGACCCTCACACCGTCGTGAATAAAGAATTTAGCAGTTTAAGAAATATAATAGAAACTTTCTCATACAAAGAACTGCCAGAACAAATGCAGTTATTTGACGAAAAATATAGAACACTTAAACTTGATCGCGAAGTAAGTTATTTATTACAATCTTCGATTACTGGCTCACAACTCTCTTGTGAACAATTTTGGTTGGAATACAAGAATATCTGTAGTTACAGTAAATCTTTGTTATATAAGTACGTTTGCACTGCGAAACACCCAACGCGTAATGTTTTGAAACAAATCGCATAAAATGAATCACACAACATGCTTTGTTTATGGTGGCGTTCGCACTCACAAAAACTGCGTAAAATTTTCAACAGATATTCAAACTTATCTTTCAACATGACAATATTTCCGCAAATTTGTTTTCAATCATTTTGTTTATGTAGTTATAAATATATAATATAGCTAAAATATGTAATGTACAATAAACTGTCAAACATATTTCACTACAACCTGTTTTTTGACTATGCAAACGCTTTTTGATACATTGACAGAAAACAGCGTTTACAACATGTATTTTGTGAAAATCGTGTCAGTGCAAACTCACGGTATAACATTATCGAATGCTGTATGGAGCGTAGAAGTAAAGAGTACCAACCCCAATAGTAGAATAGTTGAAAAAGTGGCCATCTGTAAGCAGTAAATAACAGTTCAAAAACTCTCCATAACAGCGCTGGAGTAGCTACTGGGATGAAATGAACTTAGCAGTTGTCGACGGTTTAAGTGTGCTGCTAAACTGCTCAGTAGCTCTAAAATCTTAAATCATTTTATTTTGTAAATATAACCTCGAAAAAGTCGTCTATCCCACTAATATTTTTCGGTGCGTTCTTTAAAGTATACCCCGTAGTTATAGTGGCGCCACCCTTATTTGACGGTTTTCTATAGACACATTTTAATACACAGTCTGTACTCCTTACTTCTACACTACATAGAATGCTACATTCGAGCGCATATTTTCACAGATAAATTATAAAAAATGGAACAAAGAAACAGATTTATAAACAAAAATGTATTTGCAATTTTAAAAATAAAGCAGAATGTAAAAGATGAAGGAGGTTGTAACTCAAATAGAATGTTAAAATACAATTCTAAGATTTATTATGATAATGACTATGTCATTCATCATTCATCATCATTACAGCCCTTCACAAGTCTACTGCTGAACATAGGCCTCCCCCAAGTAATGCCACAAAGCACGGTCCCGAGCCACCTGCATCCATCGACTTCCTGCATGTCTTACCAGGTCGTCACTCCATCTAGTGGGGGGTCGCCCTACAGTACGCCTACCGGTACGAGGCTGCCACTCGAGAACCTTTCTTCTCCATCGGTTATCGGTTCTTTGAGCTATATGGCCGGCCCATTGCCACTTCAGCTTACTAATCCGTTGGGCTATGTCGGTCACTCTGGTTTTACTGCGGATATCCTCATTTCTGAGTCTATCACGCAGAGAAACTCCGAGTATAGCCCTCACCATAGCTCGCTAAGCGACCTTGAGCGTCCTCATACGGCCAGCAGTGAAGGACCACGTCTCTGATCCGTAAGTCGTCACTGGCAACACGCACTGGTTGTACACTTTAGTTTTCAGAGATTGAGGTATACCTGACGAGAAGATGTGTCGTAATTTCCCGAACGCTGCCCAGCCGAGTTGAATCCGTCGATTAACCTCTCGGTCGAAGTTGGACTTACCTAGTCGGACTATTTGTCCCAGGTAAACGTACTCGTCAACAACTTCGAGCATAGTGCTCCCAACAACTACCGGCATAGGTGTGACATGGACATTAAACATGATCTTTGTTTTGTCCATGTTCATCTTAAGACCTATCCGTTGGGAGACACCATTGAGGTCATTGAGCATAGTGCTAAGGTCCTCCAGCGATTCTGCCATAAGGACTATATCGTCGGCAAATCGAAGGTGAGTGATGTACTCGCCATTGATGTTAATACCGTATCCTTTCCAGCCCAGTAGCTTGAAAACGTCTTCCAACGCAGCAGTGAAGAGTTTCGGGGATATAACGTCACCCTGTCTTACACCTCTCTGCAGTTGGATAGGTTTCGAACTCTGGTTCTGTACTCGGATAGCCATCGTAGCCCTACTGTACAAACACTTCAGCACTTCGATATACCGACAGTCAACTTGGCACCGCTGAAGGGACTGTAGCACCGCCCAAATTTCGACGAAATCAAGGGCTTTCTCATAGTCCACATACGCCAGGCAAAGTGGCAGATTATACTCTTCGGTCTTCTGTACAATCTGCCGCAGGGTATGTATGTGGTCTATGGTACTGAAGCCTTTTCGGAAACCGGCTTGTACGGGAGGCTGGAAGTCGTCGAGTCTGCGTGCGAGACGATTCGTAATGACTCTCGAAAACAGCACGTAGACGCGGCTCAGAAGGGAAATCGGTCTGTAGTTCTTCAAGAGAGCGTTGTCGCCTTCTTAAAGACAAGACCACCGCACTTCTGCTCCACGCCTCCGGAGTAGTGCCACCATGGAGGACAGAATTGAAGAGCTTCTGAAGGAATTCAAGTACCGGTGTTCCACCCGCTTTCAGAAGCTCCGCTGTAATTCCATCCTCGCCTGGGGCCCTGCCGTTTTTAAGGTGCTGGAGACCCATTCTAATCTCGCTCAGACTGACGTCCGGGATATCATCGGAATAGTGTCGGGTAAGACTTGCTCTTGGATCGTTACTCGCACTTGCGTGTGGCTCCAACGATGATGTGTACAGCTGCCCATAGAACCTCTCAATCTCACTCAAAATCTCAGGTGTCCCGGAAACGATGCTGCCACACTCAGTCTTCAGCTTTGACAGTTGGCTCTTTCTGGCAGACAGATGTCTGGCAAAGACTTTGGAGCCTTGGTTCCGCTCGATCGCTTCTTTAATACGAGCAGTATTAACCCTTATTTCGACGGAGTTCTCAATATGCTAATTTTACAAATTTGTTTCAAAAGCTAGGTTTCTATAGCATGTTAGAGTCTCGTAAAAAAGATAAAAAAATTAAATCACCTACCATTTTTGAGAAAAAGGGGGTCCGTCACAGCGGACTCCGTCGAGCACATAGAGATTTACAAGTAAAATAACTTGTCCGCCCTGGTGGACTTTACCACTTAAGAGTGCAAATAAAGATATGAAAACGAAACGAGAGGAAAGGAATGAAAATTATGTTTATTTGAAATCTAATATTAACCTTTTACGTGAAAATTAAAAAACAGTTGCGTGGAGCTTTTCCTTTCACAAAGCATAGCCGCGTATTACATTTTAAACAGTATACAGTTGTTTTCTTATTGCAATTCATACAACGGCCTTCCTCCTTCGTAGATGGGAAGTGCCCCACATTATCAAATCGGGTATCATCAGGTGGTCTAGGCTTGCACACATGGCGGACACAAGTACCTTCAGCCCGTTGGTAGGTAGCAGCTCTGTTGTTATTCAATAAACCGTAGTATATTTCGTATCTGAAATCTTTGAGTCTCATAAAGTTGACACGACCACCTGCAGCACTTGCTTTTTGCTTTCTATAAAGAATCCAGGCATTGTTTATACAAATGTCGATCATTTGAGAAAATATCGCTATATACCAGCGTTTAGTTCTGAACGGTGTCTTAAATAACGATATCGTCATGTCAGCTAAGTCAACACCACCCATATTTTGATTATAATCCTTGACCATATTAGGACAATCAACATCGACTCTTTGCTTAGCGTCCTTACAGTATCTCTTCACTTTATGGACGGGATCAGCATCTGTGTATGAACTTATTAGTGTGGTACATTTATTGTCGTACCACCTTACGACAACTAATTTGTTTTTGTTGCAGACACACTGACAATAACTTCCTCGTCTCTTCTTCTTGAGAGCTTTTTCACAGATCAATTTATCTTCTGCCCCTCTCAGTCGGTTGATTCGAATTGTCCCTAAAGAAAATAAACTATAGTTTTCTCGTAGTAGATATACTAATTCGGGCGACGAGAAGAAGTTATCAAAATATACTATAGCAGGCTTATTTCGTATGGTTTGACATAGAGCAATAACAATGTGTGCCCCAAAACCCAAAGATTGCTCTTCATCTGTAAACTTATGATTCCTAAAGGTATCATCTCCTCCATACAGTATAAAATCGTAAATCATACAAGATGTACCTGCCCGAACATAGTTTTTAAAACCCCATTTTATCGGTTTATCTTTCATGTATTGCCTCCGTTTAGCGGCTTTACGCCCTTTGTATGCAATCATCATCTCGTCGATGCTGAACCTATTTTCACCTTCATGAGCAATACAATTTCTACGTATCTTCTCTATAATAGGTCTAATCTTATAATATCTATCGCTATTTTCAAAATTGTTATAAACAAAATGAATAAATCGTCGAATTTGCTCGTACCTTTTCAAAGGCATAACTTCTGCTATTTTGTCATATCTGAACTTCATGCTTCAGTAATCTAAATAAGAGCTCAGAGGTACAATACCCATCCCATCCCATCCATCCCATGTGTATTGCCAGGAAGTCACGCAACTCATTCTCTGTTAGCTGTATGGATCAGCCAGTTCTTTGGACTGAATAAGCGTTTGTTTCATTGACTATATCTGTTATGATATCTGGTGAGAAGAAAAAAAGGAAATATTGTAAAGGTGACAAAACTTCGGAAGCATCTCCAGACATAACCGGATCTTCTATTTGAGCTTTGTGTGAAAAAGTACCTTTTTTCCATTTGAAGTCGAGTGTCAACTTTTGTAGTTCTCTTGGCCTTTTTTTAGCTACAAAAGTAGCCGTTTGTCTTCTTTTTCTAGTGACTGGGGATGGGGTATGTAAAGATGGTAAAGATGATATAGAGGGCAAGTTTTGAAAGTTTGGTTCTTGTGTTGGATTAGGTAGAATTTCTTGTAAAATAGGAGTTAGAGGAACATTAGATAAATCTGGGTCTTCGTCTGTTTCAGATTGGTTTTCAGGTAGTGCTTCAGAGGAATCATCCAAAAGATTCATGCGCTCTAAAGAGGAAGCAAGCGATGGTGCAGGCGAGGAGGAGTTAGAATCATGCGACTCATCAAGCTCATTTCCAGAATTTGACTTGTCACTTGTTTCAGATGGTGCACGCTCTCTAGGTACAAGTGCTAATATTTTTTTCGAGCGTTCATGCAGGCGACACTGTCAAAGAGCAAAAAAAGAAAAGCTAAGCAAACCACCACAAAAATAAAAGCTATATCACGAGAGTGTAACGATTTGTACTGATTTTATGTAATGATATGTAAGTAATTATAGCAAATTTATAGATATATGTATATATTATTTAATATTCATAAAAGGTATGCTCATTATTATAAAAAAAACCATTGATATTTATATAGAAAACTAAATACTTTGCACTGTCATGAAAGGGAAACACACATATCTATTTATTACTATGTTATTGACAAAGTCCGCTGCCATTGACAAGTAAAACTTTGTGTGCATTGCCGTAGTTTCGGTACAGGTCTATTTTTAGTAAATAAACTGCAATTACTATATTGTTTTGTTAGTGAATGTATGCGTTATCTACATGACAACAAATATCACAACAAAAATCCAATGTAAAAAAATAAATAATATAAAAAAACCATATAAATACCTTGAGCAAAGTTGAAGACTTCCGTGTCATCGCCATCTTGCTCAATAAGTGACAGATATTTGCCGTCATATTTATTTTTCTACCTTTCCTTTATTATATTTTCTAACGTTTATTTAAAAAAAGTTAAATATAAACTAAATTAGAATTGCAACAGATTTTTTTAAAGTACTTGTCCATCCTACCGGACTAATTCGAAATAAGGGTTAAAGTTGCGTAAGTCTCGCCACACGCATTTGGAGATCTGTCTGTTCAGTTGCCTGTATGCTGTCAAATCTGTTGACGACTGCAGCCTCATCTCCCGTCTAACAGCCATGAGATTAAGAGTGTGATCGGAGAGTTTTTGTGTTCTTCTGCGGCGGGTCTTGCAGAACTTAGCTCCAACCGCATGGACAGTTTCCACGAGCTTGTCATTCAAATCGTCCACTGCATTGCAATCTTCTTGGCACTGAAAGCGGTTACGTAACTTGAGCTGAAAAGTCTCGGGATTCTGGATTAGAGCACGAGGCGGACGGAGCGTTGACTTCATTAGACGAGACCTCTCCAACTTAACGTTTAGGTTCAGTGTGCCTCTAACCATTCGGTGATCGCTGCCGGTTTTCACCCTTGCGATCACTGAGACATCACTGAACAGTTGGCGTCTGGTCGTCATAATGAAGTCAATCTCATTTTTTGTCGAACCGTCGGGGCTCGACCAGGTCCACTTCCTGTGGGGCCGCTTCTGGAAGAAAGAGTTCATCATAAAGAGTCCCTCTTTCTCCATAAAGTCAGCCAGCTACTGGCCCCTACGGTTCCGTTGCCCTACTCCAAATTTCCCTAACTTCAGCTCACCGCCTTCTCTTGTGCCTAGTTTTGCGTTGAAGTCTCCCATCAATACCTTGTAGTGGGTTTTGGAGGAATGCATGGCTCTAGAAGTATCCTCATACATTTCCTCCACCTCCTCATCGGAATGTGCCGAGGTTGGTGCGTAGACCTTTATGACCTTCAGCGAATACCGCGGTGATTCTGAGCATCAGGTACGCGACCCTCGCGACACACTCCCAATCTCTACAACGTTGTTGACGAGAGACTTGTGGACGATAAATCCGACACCTCCTTGGGACAGATGGTCGCTCTCCCGGTGATAGAACAAGTTGCCGGACTCGAGGATTACCGTGTCCTCCCCCTCTCTTCGGACCTCAGATAATCCAATAATATGCCAGCGCAACTTGTCTACCTCTTCTTCCAGCTCCAGTATCTTCTCGTCAGTCCTCAGGGTGCTTGCGTTATACGTTGCCAGGTCGAGTCGTCGTAGGTGGCAACCGAACCTCCACCGGAGATTCTTAGCACCCCCTGCCCTGCCGTTACCATGGACTATGTAGTGACTATGTAGTGATGTGAAAATCTTCAATAGACAACTCACCAAATCACTATCTATAAAAGTTTATTGTAAGCAGAGCAGTTCACACGATTAAATAGTCTACATATACAATAATCTTTATAATTTAGAACAAGTATAGCACAGAAAGTTATTAATATATTAACAACACAAAATATTATATATTTTATAAACAGACAGAATTGACAAGACAAAACAATAAATAATATATAATGACAGGTGTCTTAGTTGCAATCGTCTGAAGGCTGAAGACTGAGTATGGCAGCATCATTTCCGGGACACCTGAGATTCTGAGTGAGATTGAGAGGTTCTATGGGCAGCTGTACACATCATCGTTGGAGGCATACGCAAGTGTGAGTAACGATCCAAAAGCAAATCTTATCCAACACTATTCCGATGATAACCCGGACGTCAGTCTGAGCGAGATTAGAATGGCTCTCCAGCACTTTAAAAACGGCAAGTCCCTGAGCAAGGATGGAATTACAGCGGAGCTTCTGAAAGCGTGTTGAAAACCGGTACTTGAAGTCCTTCAAGAAGCTCTTCAATTCCGTCCTCCATGGTGGCACTACTCCAGAGGCGTGGAGCAGAAATGCGGTGGTCTTGTTCTTTAAGAAAGGCGACAACGCTCTCTTGAAGAACTACAGGCCGATTTCCCTTCTGAGCCGCGTCTACGTGCTGTTTTCGAGAGTCATTACGAATCGTCTCGCACGCAGACTCGACGACTTCCAGCCTCCCGAACAAGCCGGTTTCCGAAAAGGTTTCAGTACCATAGACCACATACATACCCTGCGGCAGATTGTACAGAAGACCGAAGAGTACAATCTGCCACTTTGCCTGGCATATGTGGACTATGAGAAAGCCTTTGATTCCGTCGAAATTTGGGCGGTGCTACAGTCCCTTCAGCGGTGCCAAGTTAACTGTCGGTAAATCGAAGTGCTGAAGTGTTTGTACAGTAGAGCTACGATGGCTATCCAAGTACAGAACCAGAGTTCGAAACCTATCCAACTGCAGAGAGGTGTAAGACAGGGTGGCGTTATATCCCCGAAACTCTTCACCACTGCGTTGGAAGACGTTTTCAAGCTACTGGACTGGAAAGGATACGGTATTAACATCAATGGCGAGTACATCACTCACCTTCGATTTGCCGACGATATAGTCCTTATGGCAGAATCGCTGGAGGACCTTAGCACTATGCTCAATGACCTCAATAGTGCCTCCCAACGGATAGGTCTTAAGATGAACATGGACAAAACAAAGACCATGTTTAATGTCCATGTCACACCTATGCCGGTAGTTGTTGGGAGCACTATGCTCGAAGTTGTTGACGAGTACGTTTACCTGGGACAAATAGTCCGACTAGGTAAGTCCAACTTCGACCGAGAGGTCAATCGACGGATTGAACTCGGCTGGGCAGCGTTCGGGAAATTACGACACATCCCTCAGGTATACCTCAATCTCTGAAAACTAAAGTGTACAACCAGTGCGTGTTGCCAGTGATGACTTACGGATCAGAGACGTGGTCCTTCACTGCTGGCCGTATGAGGACGCTCAAGGTCGCTCAGCGAGCTATGGAGAGGGCCATGCTCGGAGTTTCTCTGCGTGATAGACTCAGAAATGAGGATATCCGCAGTAAAACCAGAGTGACCGACATAGCCCAACGGATTAGTAAGCTGAAGTGGCAATGGGCCGGCCATATAGCTCGAAGAACCGATAACCGATGGGGAAGAAAGGTTCTCGAGTGGCAGCCTCGTACCGGTAGGCGTAGTGTAGGGCGACCCCCCACTAGATGGAGTGACGACCTGGTAAGACATGCAGGAAGTCGATGGATGCAGGTGGCTCAGGACCGTGCTTTGTGGCATTACTTGGGGGAGGCCTATGTTCAGCAGTGGACTTGTCAAGGGCTGTGATGATGATGATGATGAATAACAAATTATTATGTCCCAGATTTAATTCAAGATGAGCATAGCCGTAGCTGGGTATGTGAGTTCGATTTGCAGCAAAAAGTTCGTAAGATGTTCGAGATCGTCGTTGTTTGAGTACTGTGCGCGGGAAGACACACAGGTCGCTTCCGGTGTTGACCAAGAACTGCATCTTCATTCTACGATCCGTCGTAAACAGGCGACCGGATGAACTGAGGCAATCATTTGTCGCCACTAATGACTGCCCCGATCGTTTCCCAGTTGGTAATCACAAGGCTTTACGCACTTTTTAGTTTTATCGCCAAATTTGTAATGGTAAAAGCATAATGGAAACCTTCTATAATTTGATTGAGAACGATTTCGACTGTGACTGTGACTATGGTTGCGGTGACGCCTGTTGCGTCCATTTTGTGAGCGTGATCTTCTCCGATTTCTGAGGGATAATGCTTGCACTTGGCCACGACATCGTGTCAAGTAACGACCCGGAAACTACATCCATAGAAGCGACATGAGAGGACGCCGGCACAAGTTCATGCACTTTATCAGCTAAGGCAGCCAATGCTTCAAGAGTTGAGTCAGGTTGTGATGCCATTACGGTTTGCAAATTATTTGGGATGCGACTAGTCCATATTATCTTGATTGATTTGGAACGTTAGGGCCCGCTAAGTGTTGCAAATGTCGTAAAAATTCTGATGGACACCTATCACCAAGTTTCTCGTGCATTAAAAATTGCTTCACTTCTTTTTCTCGGGATGCTGAGTGCCTTTTGATAAGCTCTGTTTTAAGTTTCTCGTATTTACCTTTTTGAAGTGGTGTAACTATAATGTCCTTGACTTCTGCTACATATCTATGGTCTAACTGTGCAATTACATAATAAAATTTTGTTTCGATCGATAAATCGATAATGCGAAATTCCCTTCAACTTGTGCGAACCACACAGCAGTCTCTTCAGCCCAAAACGGTGGCAGTTGGACACCGACACGACATATATCTGATGGTGTGAATGACCCTTCCGCATTACATGTTTCTTGCGACAGTAATTGGGATGGTTCAACTTGTTTCTCTGCCATGTTATTTTAAATATTATTCTTAAAATATTGTTTTGGATTCTGCTTACGTTTGGGTTCTTGCAGCATAAAGCACAGACGGGGTCACCAGTGTAGTAATGTATGGGAAAATTTTCAATAGACAACTCATAAAATCAGTATCTATAAAAGTTTATTGTAAGCAGAGCAGTTCACACAATTAAATAGTCCACATATACAATAGTCTTTATAATTTAGGACAAGTATAGCAGAGAAAGTTATTAATATATTAACAACAAAAAAATTATATATTTTATAAATAGACAGAATTGACAAGACAAAACAATAAATAATATATAATGACAGGTGTCTTAGTTTATTTGAAATACATGCCGCCACAGCCAAATAATACATATTTTGACTATCATTATTTTTATTGGTATATTTTCCCTGTGCAAGTTGGTATATTTCAGTACTTTTTACCCGTAGACAGAGAAACTTATAGACAAATTGACGCCTCCTTTCGCATTCGAACACGAAAAAGATAAATTTATGCATACGTCTTGCATAGAAATGAGACGGAACGGTGTGATTGTTTGTCCCTTTCTACGTGCCGGTTTTTTTTGTTTAGCAAACTACGCTTTGCTAAACAACTTTAACAGTTCGTAGCGATCTAAGGTGTTTACTATTATTACTATGATTTTTATAGTTTATATT